TCAAAATGGAATTGATAGAAACTGCAAAACACAGCTTTTACAGCATACCTCTAACAACCAGAACTCTCAGTTTTTTCATCCAGTGACAGTGCAAAGAAGAAAAAGAAATGCAGTCACTAGACTCAGGGATGTCAACAACTGCATTTTTGAGACCAAAGAGGAAATTACAAACCACATTTCTCACTTTTACCAGAGTTTGTTCACTTCATAAGGGTCTCAAAGAGGTGAGAGAATTCTTCATCTTATCCCCCACTTAATTACCCAAGAGATGAATGATGAGCTTACTCCAGAGGTGATAAATGAAGAGATAAAAAAATATCCTATTCTCAATGAATCCACTTAAGGCTCCTGGGGAAGAAGGTATGACTACACTTTTTTACCAATACTTTTGGCCTGTAATCAGTACAGATTTATGTGAAGCTCTGAAAAGTTTTTTTATATGTGGTAGGTTTCTGAAATACTGGAACCATACTCTGGTGTGTCTAATTCCAAAATGTGAAAACCCCGTGTCTTTGAATCAGTATAGACCGATTAGTCTCTGTGATGTGGTTTACAAAGTGATATCAAAGATTCTGGCTTCTAGACTCAAATATTGTCTTCAGTTTTGCATTAGTCCAGCTAAAAGGGCTTTTATACCTGGAAGACAACTGCTTGATAATGTCATCATTGCACAGGATAGCTATCACTATCTAAATAGGCATAGATCTGGGAAACACAACTTCATGGCTCTGAAACTTGACATGTTGAAAGCATACGATAGATTTGAATGGAGGTGTTTAAGTGCTCTAATGTCAAAAATGGGATTTGCTGAGAAATTTATTAACTGAATTATGTTATGTGTGTCATCTGCTTCCTTCTCCTTTTTGCTCAATGGGGAGGCTGTGGGATTTGTTAAACCCTCAAGAGGACTGAGACCAAGAGATCCTATATCTCTTTATCTCTTCTTAATTGTAACTGAAGCTCTCTCAACTTTAATAAGTTCTGCTGCAGAAGGTGGAGTTTTTAGGGGACTGAGACTGGCAAGAGGAGGACCACTACTAACTCACCTACTTTTTGCAGATGACCTGATAATTTTTTGTAAAGCAGACGAAGGACAGACTGTGCTGCTAACAGACCTTCTTCAGTTGTATGAGAATTTTTTAGGGCAGAAGATCAATTTGTCTAAGTCCACAATCTTCTTCAGCAAAAATACACCCATTAATATTAGAACCAGAATCTGTGAGATGGTAGATGGCTTGTCTGCACACAACTCCTCAAGATATCTGGGACTCCCTTTTGGCATTAGCAAATCAAAGAAAGAGGCCTTTGATTTTGTCATTGATTCTATTAGAAAAAGATTGGTGAGCTGGAAGAACAGATATCTATCCACAGCAGGAAAAAAAAGTGCTAATCAAAGTTGTCTTCAACTCTCTCCCTGTATTAGCTATGTCTTGTTTCAAGCTTACTGCAGGAATTTGCAAGGAGATAGCTAGTATGACAACTCAATTTTGGTGGTGTAAAGGAAAGAACCAAGAGAAAGGGTTTACACTTGAAGAACTGGAATCTCCTCACTCTTCCATAGAAGCAAGGTGGGCTGGGATTTCAAGACATCAAATTATTCAATGAGGCTTTGTTATTGAAACAATTATGGAGAATCACAAGTGAACCTGATTTACTTGCATCTAAAGTCCTCAAGAGCAGGTACTATCCTGATTCATCAATCTTTCTGGCTACTAGAAAGGACTCATCCTCATGGTTTTGGAAAAATTGGATGCAAGTGTTGCTACTATTCAAATCTTATTGTTGGAAAGAAATTGGGTCAGACAGGAGCACTAAGATATTAGATGGAGGGTGGGTACCATCACTGAGGGGAATAGTACCAACTTTTCAATGTGAAGAATTTACCAGCACAACAGTTAATCAACCTGTTTGGGTACATGAACTTATGGATGCTACAGGCAGGAGGTGGAATACAGATTTGGTGAGACACCTATTCTCGGATCAGGTTGGGGAAGCCATGCTCCAGATTGATATAATGGCTCCAGACAAAGAAGATATATGGAGATGAAACCTGAATAACAAAGGGCTATTTACAGTAGCAGACTCCTATTCCCATTTTGGATCATTGAAGGTTGATACTGTTGTGAGGAAAAGGAGCTGGAAATTAAAGGTTAAAGGAAGGATTAAACACTTCATATGGAAGTGTTTCACTGGCACACTTCCAGTGGGAGTGAACCTCACGAAGAAAGGAGTACAAGTGTATCCAATTTGCAAAGTGTATAGAGAAGCCGACGAGACAATTGAACACCTCTTACTCCAATGTGAAAAGGCTACAAATGTATGCAAGTTAGCTCCGGTTTCTTCGGAAGGAATAAATCTACAGAACACATCTTTCAAAACTTGGTGGTGGCAAATGTGTGCTCTTGATAAAAAAGAGATCTCCGAAGCTCGAATCCAATTATCTACATACATCATATGGTGGATATGGAGATCTCGAAACTTATGGCTCTTCAATGAGGAAAAACTACCTGAAACTGTTATCTTAAAAAGAGCAATGAGGGAATGGACTGAGTTCAAATCAGTGGCTTAGGTGTGCTTCTCAAGTCTTAGCAGATGCAGGTATAGGTCTCGAGGAGGATGAGGCTTTGGTTGGATTTGTTTGCTAATGTTGGTTTTTTGTGTTTAGTTTAGTGGCAGGTAGCTTCTTGTTTTTTCCTGTGTGCTTGTAGCTTTAGTCAGGTTAGCATTGTTTCTGTTTTTTTTTTTTT